GAAATACACCAGGCCTCTGGAGCTGGGGCTGCAGGCTCGTGGTGGGTGCACAGCAGCCTACGGCAGGGCGTGGTCGAAGGTCTCAAGACCAGGAGGAGAGTTTTAAACCTCCCTCTGACCAGCCTCTTCTGCTCCATCCTTTCTCAAGGCAGGAGGCTAGAATAAGTCCTGCGACCTCTTAGAAAAACATGCTTTTCACACCTAAAATTGAATTGTTCAAAACCAAGCCAATCACTGCAGGTGTTTGAACAGAGTTGTTTCTCTGCCCAGAAACCATAAAAACAAAACCAAAAATCTCAAGTGCCCTTACCTCTTACCAGTTTATAAAATATTTTCCGCTGATATCGACTCGCCTAATTCTGCAAGCCCAAACTGCCAGCAGACTCCTCATTGTCATTGTAGAGGCAAGGAAATGGAGAGAAAGAAACCAAGCATTGTGTCCAAGGTCACAGTCAGGAAATGCCCAATCCCTGATCCGGACCCCCTGTGCAAGACCTCTTTGATTCCACTGCTTCCTGTCATTCCCTCCCCTGAAATAGGCACACAGAGACCCATGGCACAGCCTGGAAACTCTGAGAATGCCTTTCCAACCTCCTCACCAACCTCCCAGCCCCCAGGGAGGAGGGGTCCACTCACTAGTTAATGCTGCAGTTTGCCACCATCACAGGTACAGGTGGGGATGGTCCGATGGACACCTGGCTCTGGATCTAGCTTTTTTTCAGATCACATTCTCCTCAGGACAGTTCTTCAAGGAGCCCACGTTAAAATGACCCCACCCCCAAACACACACACACACACATCAACCGTTCATGTTCCCCTTACTGCCAAGACTCTTCCTATAAACCACGTAAAGTAAATAACCTCAAATATAACTCTTAATTGCTTCCAAGTCAGTGTTTCCTCATCACTAAATGTTATTGCTTCCCAATCTTTAGGACGAACCCCCTTCGGGACTCTGTCCCTTCTAGGAGACAGGCCAAGGAAAACAGCTTCTTTGATATTTGACCTGGGTGGCCCAGGCCCGGAAGATGAGCAAGGGTGTCAGCGTGCTCCGAGTCTGAGAGGCCTCCGAGGGCTGAGGCTGGACTCTCGGAGACAAATGGGGAAGTTTTCCGTCTGCTCGTCTCCCCCTACAGGCCACGTGCGCCATTGCAGCGAGAGCCCTGTACAGCCCATGCATGCATTTTGCTCGTTCGCATTTTCTTGGACCTCTGGATCCACTCTCCATTCCCCAAGGGGCTGCGTGAGGGGGGGGGGGGGGCACTCAGGGACTCCGCCCTGGGATGCTCTAAGGATCTTAGACCTCGGAACTGGATTGACTTTCTAGAAATAAGTGTCGGAGGGAGTGCAAACCCGTGTGTAGCCGAAAGCTAAAATCCTCCTCATAAAAATCAACCCGCTCCCCCCTTTTGTTACAAATAAACCTCACTACGTGGAATAAAAAGCGGTGTCAGTAGTGTTGCCTTTAAATCTCAATTTAAGAGGGAATTGTAGTGCCTTTCGTCGCTGGTGCGCAGGTTCGGTCACATCAAATATGAGTTTCAAGCCCTCCCCCACCCAATGCTAGCGTTCATTATATATATTTGCATTTTCCCTTCCGTTCTAAACCTTTGCGGCTTACCAAGCTTAAAACAAAAAGAGCTTTTCCGAGGGGTCTCCCAGACATCCGCCAGGACTTTAAACAGGCACTGCCGGTTTGGGGGTTTGGATCTGAGTCTCCTACCCTCCAAGAAATAAAGGAAGGGGGACCATCTCTACGCTAGTTCAAGGTTAAGAGGCTGGAAGTTGTCAGCGGTTCTCTCCTTTACACCCCACCGCCAAGGCATCGCTGGAAAAAGCCATTCGGATCTTAAGCGGCGGCTTGTGGCTGAGTGTCAAGCTGCGGGCGCAGGCTCGGCCGGTATTGCTGCTATGCGCGGAAATATGAGCGAGTAATTTTATAAGTAACAAAGGATCAGGGATGGAATGAGGCCCCTGTTATCCAATGTCATTTAGAAGCCTTGGATCAGCAGCTTCTTGAGGCTAAAAGTGAATGCAAGAAGCCCTGCCTTTCCCTTTTCCCAGGAGTGTCAGCTATATTTAGAAATAACCTCTATGTGTTTGCACAAATCATGTACCATTTGCTGTTTGTGTAAAAACCGATTAGCCAGACACAACTGTGAAACAACTTGTTACTTTTATAGCTGCAACACACAAACAGATTTAGATCCGTTTAGTTTGCCTTGTAAAAGGAGATTAGAAGGGACCCGCCCGGAGACTGTGTGGTCCATAATCTCTTCTCCTCGAAGGTTACCGTGGCTCCGAGGCGGTTATCTGGTTCTTGTTTGTCAAGTTGAACTATTTCACTCCCGGCAGCCTGTTTTATTTTAGGACCCTGATCCAGAAGGAATGTTTACTGAGACACAATAATGTTTACCATTGACCAGGAAAACAGATTCGGTATTTGTGAGGGTCTTTCAAAGCGGCTCCGTCCACGCCGTCTGCAGAGAAATAAGGCTCGGATCTGAAGCCCCGAGGCATCTCTGCGACCAGGAGGCAAGGTGGGCGCCAGCGGCAGGGATCGTGGCTGTGCTCTGCAAACAGGAGGAACCTGGGGCTGAGCTGACAAAACCGCTACCCGCTCCAGCTTTGAAAAGAGATTTCGCATAAGTAATTGTAACACCTAAATTAATTACAAAATAATTAGAATTGATGCCGTTTGAGGATATGGTAGTGGTGGTGGGAACCGGCCTCCCGAGTCTAGATGTTACATTTGTACCTTAATACTTTTAAGGTTGCAACAGCAGAAATGCACATTAATATAATCTAGGAGGAAAAAAAAATCTAGGACATCTTCACATTCCTGCCCTATGATCTCAAATTTCACACTAAGTATACGCATTTTTTTAAGAAAAAAAAGGGGGGGAGGGGTGATGTGCACCTGTTTTTAAAAGGATATTAAGGCCACACTATTCCTTGGCCTTCAGAAAAACTGCGGGTTGGAGGGTGGGGAGGCATCCAAAGAAACCGTTCAGAAATTGAAATTATGTTGTGGATTGCCATAGAAAAGAGGTATCTTATTTGAAAACATTAAGAATAAAACTATGTATTACCTATCAGGTTAATATAATACAATTCCACTGCAAAATTCAAAATGCCATAACATACACTTAAAAAAATTAACTGGGTTTATTTACCACTTCCACTTGAGCAATGAAAATAAGAAATTTCAAAAACTAAAGATTTAAATGCTAAAATGAGGGCTATGTCTGGAATTTATATTCGTTTGAAAGGATAATATTAATGACCAAGTCTGCATTTGAGAAATTTTCATTGTGCAAAATATGTTGGTATTTTTTAATTAAAAGATTTAATTGTTGAGACTAAGGTTTGTTTTTCTTTTTCTTTCTTTTTTTTTTAGGTAGCAGGTTATTTTATCTACGGACATTTCTGGTCATTTAGATTTAATGGATTGATATGAACAAGATCATGCCCCACATCCGGGTTTTATGTAAAAACTAAAAGAAAAATATTACTATGATTTAAATTAGCAGATTCTTTTCCTTGTTCAATTAAACTTTTCTTACAACAAATTATGAATTAGCAAACTCCTCGAATTTCTGGTAAAGGTGAAATACAAATATTTTAAAATCTCGTCATTTACCTCAGATACCTAAATGAAACACTAGGCTGAGCATTTTAAAAATTTATTTACAAAGTTGTGTACAACACGATGGAATAACATTTAGAATACCATATATATTCATTCATATATAAACAGACTTTTATAATAGAATGACACTTCTTGCCTTTTGAAAATTCTTTTACATTTAAAATCTCCCAATGTCTATACATTTTTTTCTCACATAAAACTGTGGAGAGTGAACCTTCAAAAAAAATGAAAGTTCAGAGCTCTAAATCTACTGAATTTTTTTTTCTTAAAAAAATAAAAACCCCAAAAGGAAAGTCAATAATTTTTATACAAATATGTACAAAGAATTTCCCTCCCTTCCCCACGGTACTGAGAGCAGATGCCGTCAGGGAACATTTTTGGAAAATTTAAGTTTTCGGTTTTACCTGTATGGAAAGCTATTCCCGGCGGGCGCGCGCAGAGAGTTTGGTCCGCCAGCCTAGGTGTGCATAAGAGGGTGGAGGCTGCGGAGGTCGGTGCTGAGGGGTCGGGGGCAGGAAATGGAGGAAAGGCAGAGTCTGGGATGGGGCAGGGGGCCGGGACCAGGGCGGGCGCCCAGCCTGGAAGTGCAGCCGCGCGGGGCCCACCGCGGGCCTGCGTCCCGGCGACCTCCCAGGCCACTTTTTGTCCCCTTGACGCCCGCCACTTTCCTTGACACGTCAATAAATATCATTGACCCCTGCCCATGCCTAGCTCCACCACCA